CTAAAGGACGACACTTAGTCCGCGTTAAAACTGGAGCTCGCTACGGGACGTATGCATTCGCTCGGGATGTACGCTACCTGCTAGTCACATAAACAAGATTATAATTAATGAGGATTAAAGAGGTACTATAAAAACGGTGTTTTATTGTGTCCGGTATGAACGTAAGCAACTTTGCAAAGGGCCAAAATCAGCTTTTTCGAAATTTAAAATCGAACACAAGGAGAAGAATCTGTTATATATCAGATACGTTAATGTAAATTTTATTATTCAAAATATTTATGGCTTAGTGGGTACAATGAGTTAAATAAACTGTAATACTGCGTACTTGCTTTTTGCAACAGAAGCAGCAACTTGGAATAAGACTGGCTTCAGTAGTAACTTTTTTTTTTTTTTTTTTATTACTACTTGTGAGAAACATCAAGAAGCTGTTAATCGTATAAAAGCGCTCACTGCTTTGAAAATATCTGGATCATAAAGGATTGTTCATTCTTTAAATATACACAATGAAACAGTTAAATTTTATATAAGTATTTCAAAATACTACATACGAGTTTTCATGTTTTTTCCCCCGTGTATAAATTGATACGAGACGGTTTCCCTTAATAGTTAACCCAAACAATTCTTGCCTGAAGCAAAAGCCCTTGCGTGTTTTGCTGTAGTAAATTTAATTGAATCCAATTCATATTTGGTAAAAAGTAATTGATGAGTTTCACTTCTTGGAAAACAAGAATGTGTATATAGAGTCACAGAGAGCCGGAAAATTCAGTGAAGACAGGCACACAGAATTGCTGGAATATTTAGTTACTTATGATCTAGTTTTTGCTACTTATTTAAAAAATGAACTCTGTTTTTAAAAGTAGCTGCAGTGTAAAATGCTCTTACTGATGCAGTAGCTAGAGTAATTAATCATTCGAAATATGTAAGACATTTTTTTTTTGTTGTTATTTTCTTTGAAGAATCGAATGATGTGATAAGCCAATCATTTGCTCAATGTGGAAGAAACTGTCAGGAACAATTTTTGAATTTTTTTAATGCAGATTCTTATCGAACTGTGCAAGAACTGTCTTAGCACGTAGTTACATTCGCAGAAAATTTAGATTATTCGAAAAAATTAATTACGCAAACTTTTGACGGCGCAACTCTAATGACCGGGCAGTTTTCCGGCCTTCAGATCTTAACGAGAAAAGTTTATCCACTGCAACTTTTGCTTAGTGTTACAGCCATTGACTAAATTTGGTCCAGTGACGTGGATAAATGTAAATGATTCTTCATCACCTTGTCTAAAAAGTCAACTCCCCCTTCTCACCCTTGTTTGAATATATATAGATATAACTGTACTAAAAGGAAGCTTTCCAGCTTCTTTCGTCTTAGCTTATGAATACTGTTAAATATTATAGAGAATATGAGGTATCGCTGTATTAAAGTCTGTACCCTATAATGAGCCGGCAAAGGTAAGATTTGAATCACAGAGGTACCTTTAAATCGTGGCTTTACCAGATTCAAATATTTTTTAAAAAATTAATAGATTGAAATATTTTCCAAAAAATTATTAGATTCATTTTTGGCTTATTTGATTATGGCAAAGCACGTCAGGACTATCTGATTAAGGGAAGGTATACTTTTGTATAGAACTTTCTAAGAGAATTTGGTTCGTATGCACGTTAAACGGGGAAAAAAACACGAAAACGCCCATGCAGCGAGCCCATTTGCCTGGAATCGAACTCAGGTACGAGTGTTTAGCGACGGTCGGCAGCTGGTGGACACATATTATTAGATATTAAACATTTTCAAAAACATTATGCTGAAATTTTCGTGAATACTTTTCGTTAGAATTAAGATAATCATATGCCTCATAGTTTGAGTAGTTCGACCAGTAGTTCGACTCAAAAATGAACCGAAGGGTTTTTTATTCTTCAAATCAGGGTTTCTTAAACTTTTTCAGTCGCGACATTGTGTAAAAATATTTGATAATTGTAAAATTATTATATATTAAAGAAATATCAAAACCGCTAAATTTTTTGGCGACCCTCTGCTGCAGGTCCCTCGACCCCCCTGGGGGTCGCGACCCACAGTTTAAAAAAAGCTACTCTAAATGAACACAGAAATTAATTAATAAAAGATATTATTTGCTACATGAAGGTAAACAAATTGAACGATCTGTGTAATGAAATTTAAAATTATCAGAAATAATATTATACTTTCAACATCAACTCTTTCTACTCCCGAAAGAAGTTTTTCTACGTCAAAGAGAATTAAGCCATATTTCAGAGCAACACAAGTGGAAATAAATAATAATAATAAAAAAGACAACCCAATAAATATAACAAGGTATGCAGAAGAAGCATTTTATGAAGACGGTTAATTCAAGTTCAACCAAAAAAATTATTGAAAACTGGATGAAAAAACGTTGGAAAAAAATAATCTGTAAATACATTTTCGAAAAGATATTTAAGAATATAAAAATGGAAATGTCCTATTCACAGATTACATTACACAAATTAATGACACAGTGATTAAAAGGTAAAAGAACTAACTTAAAAAATTACATTTATATTGTGGGGATTTATTTAATTTACTTTGATTTCTGCGGTTTGGAGTTATTTTTATCATTAGGCTTTTTTACGCCGACTTTTTGAGTCACAGCTAGCTTGATTGCCAATTAACCTGTGAAGCCATTAGGCTAAAGTTAGCTTCATTAATTTTAAAGTTATTCATTACATTCTGAGTTAAGCCAAATGTATTGGCATTTGTGAGCACGGGCTGATTTGAGTAAATAAAAGGTTCTTTACACCTTTCTTCTGACCTTTCTTTCTGTAGCACTTTAAAGACTTAGTGATTATTCACTAAGCAATCTTCTAACGTCGAATACATTTTATGTTAGCTAAGCGTACCAGACGCCACAATATACACTGAAATGACAAAAGTCATGGGATAGCAATATGCAAATATACAGATGGCAGTAGTATCGCGTAGAAAATGTATAAATGCGAAGTGCTTTGGTAGGGCTTTCATTTGTGTTCAAGTTATTCATATGAAGAGGCTTTGACGTGATTATGGCCGCACGACGAGAATTAACAGACTTTGAACGCGGAATGGTAGTTAGAGCTAGACGCATGGGTCATTCCATTTCGGATATCGTTAGGGAATTCAACATTCCGAGATCCACATTGTCAAGAGTGTGCCGAGAGTATCTAATTTCAGCATAAATCCCACCATGGACAACGCAGGGGCCGACCACTGCCTAACGACCGACCAGCGACGTCTGCGTAGAGTTCATTGTTCACAGACAGCAACACTGCGTCAAATAACCGCAGAAATCAATGGGACGTACGAGGGACGTGTCCGATAGACATGCGTCGAAATTTGTCTCCTTGGGCTATGCCGCAGAAGACCGACTCGAGTGCCTTTACTGACAGCACGACATCGTCTGCAGCGACTCTCGTAGGCTCGTGAGCATATCGGTAGTCCCTAAACGAATGGAAAACCGTGGGCTGGTCAGATGAGTCACGATTTCAGTTGGTAAGAGCTGATGTAGGGTTTCGAGTGTGGCGCGACCCCCGAAGCCATGGACCCAAGTCTCACAAGGCACTGTTCAAGCTGGTGGTGGTTCCATAATGGTCTGGGCTGTTTACATGCATGGATTCGGTCCTCTGTGCAACTGAACCAATCATTGACTGGAAATGGATACCTTCAGCTACTTGGAGATTACTTACAGCCATTCATGGACTTCACGTACTCAAAAAACGATGGGATTTTTATGGATGACAATGCGCCATGTCACCGGCCACAATTGTTTGCGATTGGTTAGAAGAACATTCTGGACAATTCCAGCGAATGATCTGGCCACCTTGATCGCTCGACATGAATCCCATCGAACATTTATGGGACATCATCGAGAGGTCAATTCGTGCACAAAACCCTGCACCGTCAACACTTTCACAATTATGGACGTCTATAGAGGCAGCATGGCTCAATATTCCTGCAGGGGACTTCCAACGACTTGTTGAGTCCATGCCACGTCGAGTTGCTGCACTTCGCCCGGCAAAAGGAGGACCGACAAAATATTAGGAGGTATCCCATGACTTTTGTCACTTCAGTGTAAGTAGTGAGAAGTTTAAACATTCTAATTAAAGGAAAAGAGGTTGACTGAGATATTTCGAGTCTTTAATCCAAGATAACCGATTATTATATGTATATTAGTCACTGCAATTAATCTGCTTCACAGCCTTCGCTGGTGGGGAAATTTCAGTGAAGGGAAATGCACGTTTTCCCTGAAATTCTGTTGCTATTCTAGTGAGTTAGTGTATGGGCAGTTTTTAAAAGCCATAAAATAAAATTCAGAAAAATTGATCTATTTCATGAAGGCTGTATTATACCACAGAGAAAGAATGACTTAAAAAATAAAGAAATTTTAATAAATGTAAACGAGAAATAACTTACGATATAAATGAAATCAGTGCTGTGGAATATAAACGTGTGTATTGAATTCATGTAAGTTTTATCGCTGTTGTATATGTTTCAAAGGAATGCAGAAAACATACACACAAAACATACCGCAATCAAGCTTTAACAAAGTACATTTAAAAAGAGTACATTTTTATATCATTTACACGTATTTGTACAATTTATACATTATAAAGGTATACATTCTTTATTCTATTTCCTATTTGATGTGGTTTTTTATTATGTACATTAAATTTTTATTCATCTTGAAAAATGAGATGAACACCACCAGTCTTTCCTTAAAAAGAACAATTTTTATTCCACTTGTAACCTTTAACTTTTCTGTAATCCAGAAAATTCATCCGAAAACTTAATTATATTTTATAAAGAAATTTTAAAATATTGTGATATCTTACGTTTAGTTTTCACCATCAGTTTAAAATTTAAGTTGCAAAACATAAAATTATGTAAACTAAGCAAAAGTGTAGATTATTATTTTATTTTACAAATGCAATATATCCTTTTTTGGAGAAAAAAAAAACTAGTCTAAAAATTATTTTTCAATTCGTTTGCAATTACTAAATTAAAAAATTAATTAAAAATTATAAAAATTGTTAAAATATATTAATTTACATAGATACTTTCCCCTATTCGATTCCTCTGAAATCAGATAATCTAACATCTTCGTAATTACATTATTAAGTATTAATTTAAACCTATGTACAATGAGTTCCTTTAAATAGAATGACTAGGACTTGGAAAATAACTGGGAAAATATTAAATAGCAGGCTGCCAATGAAAGAAAAATGTTAATGCACATGCGTGCGAGGAGTAAATCTTGAGATCATGGCATAAATGTAACCGTTTCACACTTTGAATTGTATCACACGGTCAAAGGACCAATTACGTGGAAGAGCATGAAGGAATTCTGATGAGAAGGAGAGTCTTAATTAAAGTAACAAGAATCACTTTCACCATCAACTATAAGCTGCTTTCAGTCGGAGGTTCACGGCATTCGCTTCTTTTAGGATGGGTCGACATCATATCTATATTAGTAGAAATGCTCTGATGTGATTTTCTTGGCGATGATGTTATTATAGGTTCTTCATGAAGAGGGTCCATCTCATGGAGATAAGGAATGTTTGTTTCTTCATGCAATTTATGTATGTGAGGCTCAGATATTTTGAACAACTGTACGTCTGAAACAGAATGCTCCATTGTAGGCGACGATACTGGACTAAAATTTGTGTAACCACAAGGCGTATACATATAACCATGGCTTCCATATTCTTGCTGGTTACTATATTCTGGATACGTGGGAACAAATGATTCACCTGAATTATACATGCTGTCCTCAGAAACTTCTCTTGCCATTTTCTGATTATCGTACAAATCAAATGTAACCCGCTTTGGTTCGTGTGGTGTAAATAACCTTTCAATAGTTTGCTCCGTGCTCGTGCTAGCGTAAATACTGTCAGCTCCATACATATGACGATCATTTTGAGCAAAACTGACATTTTCACCGAGGCCCTCAATATTTAAACATAGTCTGGATGGGTCCATTAAATGAGGTGAATGCAGATCTTCTCGCTCTGCATTTACTTCAACAGTTGCTTCAGTAACTACTTTGTAACATAATGGATAATTTAAACTGTCTTCTAGACCAGTACCAGAGTCTACTCGAAAAGCATGTCCGCATTCTTTGTTTGAATCAACATCTATTGAATCGGAATTAGGTCTTTGTACTGCCGGTGATTGTGCTATTGGTTCCATTGTAGGCACACCTGCCCAAGAAAGCCTGTTCCCATTATTTAACTTTTGGTGGCTTCCTTTTGATGATACACTGGAGACATCTGATAAGGTTTCTGGAGATGCTAGAGGAGCCATGCCCATCCATTCTTTCTTCCCCATCTCAGATTCTTTAGAATCATTCAAGACTACTGAAACTGCGTTATTATATTCCCAGCTGATGACTGATTTAGGGTGTTCATTTTGCCCTACAATTGCTTCTTCACTTTCTGGCTGTAGATCAGTGAAACTGGTCTCCAAAACTAAACGATGTGGTGGTGTGCGAGATCCTAACTCAATTGTTTCTGCATTTGGAGATAATAACTGTCTTCTCTCAGTCTCAGATAGCTGTCGTTGTGGCTTAGCTGGCCCTGTATTTACAAGCAGCTGTTAAAAAAAGTTACGTGTTACTTAAACATAACATTAGAATTAAAAAAATAAAGAATTTAATTACAATCGTAGTACTCTGTAGCTCATTGTAGATTTAATGATACCCAGTGTTAGACACCAGATGTCCCCGTCCTCGGTCACCTATATTTCATTTTAATTTGCCATTGCCCATGACATCTGCTGTACAAGATAAAATAGATATATATTGTATATTGCTCCAATGTTCAGCGCTGATAATCTGAGCATTGTAATTATAATTATACTATATTTTCACCAGTCAGATCAAATTCTTGTTGAATGTAAAATATATATCACGTAGTTGACGCTTTTAATCATAAAATAACCGGCAAATGCAGAATTCATTGGTGAAAAATTTTAAACAACTGTATATTTTAATTCCTTATACTCGTACATACCGATGTTTAAAATTAAGAGAATTTTCAGGTTTATTCGATTATTTCTAAAACTGATGGACAGACATTTAACGAAATTTGGTGAAGATATAGGTTGATATAATACAATAAATATATCATTCTATATCTCGACGCACCTTCATCTGGAGAGAACAATGTACTTGCGACCTATCCTTCAACATTCGAGGAAAGAACCAGTATTGAAAAGAGGTTTGATAGTCTAAGCAGGTATCATGTTGGAGGGCGCAACAAACCTTTCGTTTTTTTGACTGCTGCGAGGTGCAGAGAAGAGATTTTAGAGCCCTGTAACTGGAATTTTCCAGATTGCAGTCAGCCCTCAGTTCATTTTACAGACGATAAAGCTTGTTCACATAGAGCTAATCTAGTGGATGATTTTCTGGAAAGTGAAAGTATTACTGGCTGGATTAGCCATCTAGATCTCCAGATCTAGACTCTATAGATTATATCTGGGATGCTATTGGGACGGCAATTTCAACTTGTCTTTCCACTCTCAGAACGCTCCAACACTGGAAACAATGTGGCTGTAGGAGTGGCACCTTCTGACTGAGGGAGTTATTAATTTATTTCCAGTATAAAGTTGTGTAGCTGTTAAGGGAGATAATACCCCTATTAGCCTTCTTTTTGTTCGATCTTTCAATCTTTATTTTAGTCCTTCCTGCGCCGATGAGTCTTACTCCTGCCTTACGAATCTAATTCCTGCTGTCAGCATATGAATTCTACCAAATTATGTTTCTACCAGATTTAATTAAAATCTGTCCATCAGTTCTGAAGATAATCAACCAAACGTGAAAATTCTCTTAATTTTCAACATCAGTCTGTTATTGCATTAACTTTTAGAACCGAGATATAAAATATGAAAAAAAAAATTTTTAATGGAATTTCTGGGAATTTGTTTGAAAACTGACGGGCCGTGCATTCTTCCGAAGTTTTTAGAACTGATTGAACGAAAAAAAGAAAAAAACATATGAAATGAAGGATGAAATATGTTTAAGGCATGCATTAAAGTGGATAAGTTTTCCTTCTAACTGTCCAGGAGCTATCTAAAACTATTACAGAACAGATAGTGGTGTAACTAGAACTCATTGGCCCCTATACAAAAAAAAAAAAAAAAAAAAAAAAAAAAAAAAAAATTCTTGGGCCCCTCTCCCAATAAATTTAATGTGCTTAAAATTGAAAAAAAAAAGTTAAAAGGTTTTTAAAAAAACAAGCATTCCAGGAGCCAATGTTTTCATCATGATTTTTATCACATCTGGATTAATTGTTAAAAAATAAAAGCACGTTCTTAGGGAAACAGTTGAAAGGTTATGAAGAAAGAATAAAACGAAAAATATTTTCCCTTGACCAATTGGTGAAATGCAAATTTTCTTTAGTCTGTGTATTTGACGTCAGATGATTTTAATTCACTTATTTAAGACTTTTTGTGTGAGTGCGAGAGACAGATTTTTCTCTTCTTTCACTGAGATACATACTGATAATAAATGAATAAGTCTATATATATAGAAAAAAGGAACATGTCGACGTAAAAGCATAGCATTTTTTTAAAGCCAGAATTTTTACATACTGTTTAATATATACAATCTGCGCCTATCTAAGTTTTCTTCGCTTAATTTAGCAAACTTATAAATAATTGGTTATAGTATAAACTGACAGACAAGGTAATTGATAAACGTACAGAAAAGATATTACATTAATGCAGAGTACTCTGTGATTTACTCAGCTCACGAACATGATTCATACAATGATATACAAGTAATAAATAAGAACTTTTATAATGTAAATGATACATTTGTTAAATTAAAAACATATTGATCTTAAACTTCATAAAGAAAAATACTTGAAGTGTAGAGACATTAGATATTTTTGGAAGCAAGAAAGATGAGAAATTAACAACGCTTTCACCGGGAATCGAACTGCGGACATCTGGAATACCGGCCCCGCGTGCAGAACCATTACACCACGAAGGCATGATAGGAACGTGGAAGAAATACCTTATATACTCTCCTTTTTAAAGGGCGACTGGGTTTTTTAGGGGACCCAATCGCCAAATCCTGGGTGTGGAGAATCCTCATCCAACACCCTTTTACTTCGGGCGCCACTTGTAGAGCTATTAAGTTATTAGGAAGCAAGACTTGAAAAATGAGCAACGCCTTCGCCGGAAATCGAACCACGGACCTCTGGAATACCGGCCCAGCGTGCAGAACCACTACACCACGAAGGCACGCTAGGAACGCGGGAGAAATACCTTATAGAACATACAATTTTTGCAGAAAATATGTATGGTAAAATATTTTTCTGTCTTTTTAAAAAACACCTTTTGGTACACTAAACTACTTGAATACATGATTTTTATAAAAAATATGAATATCAATACCTGGACGTTCATTTTCTCGGCCATCTCAGCTTCAACGCTCAATAGTGATAGGTTTGACAACCGATCTTGTGTCATAGTGTTTCTTAAATATGTTTTTATAAGTTTCAGTATTGAAATGACCTCTCACGCGTGGCTGTGGTTACAGGTAATAATAAATATAATTTAAGTGAATTGCAGACTCCCGAATAACTGCTTGTCATGCCATAGTATTTTACAAATTTTGGATTTCTATTCTGAAAGTATTTATAAATAATAAAATTTATACTTCCAGTGCATTAGTAAAGTCTTCTTTATATGTTTTCTATATTTTTGAAACATTATTAATAATTTCCGTATTTGTTAACGATGACAGTGTTTTAGGTTCCAAAAATGAAAACATCGTTGCGATTTTTGTCATTCCAGTCATTCTGTACTTTAACCGAGTATTTAAAATGTGGAGAGCAGCATAAAAAACTGTTACTTTAAAAGACATTTCGGAATTTTCAAGTTAATTATCCACACATCAAAAAAATTTTTTTGCTTTATTTTTCTTTTATTTTTCAAATTTAGTTTCTGTGCCCCATTTATTTGAAATAAACTCGGCTTCTTTCATAATGTCTTCAAACTTGTTTCTCATATCTTGCATATTAATAGAAAGGCTTTATAGATGTTGATGAGCTCCATTCAAGTCGACTGATTTTCGATTGTCGAGTCGATTGATTGACTGATCGATCCTGCAGCTATAGCGCAGGACGTGTTTAAAAAATTTTGTTTTTAATTTTTGGCCTGTTATTATGTTTACTAATGTATGGAAACATATATTATATTTATATTTCATATTTATCATCAAAATATTTCATGTTAATATAATATTGCGTTATTAATATTCGTAGACATTTGCATTGTTAATTGGTATAAGTTTGGATTTTCAGATAAATGGATTAAATTTTAGCTGAACTGAATTTTTAGCAAGTTTTAAATTATAAGAATTTAGTTTATGTAATATTACAAATCTATAACTTACCTTTATAATGAAGAATTATATTTTGAGATCACTTTGAAATTTAATTTTAAAGAAAATCTTCTGTTCGTTCTCGCCATAGACTAGAGAATTGGCATTAGAATAAAAGCAAGTTTAAGTTCAGTTTACTGTTCTAAGTCATCAGCCAATTAGCCAATTACAAGTATACTTGAGGGGGAGCGTTTCACACTTCAACGTAGATGTTTAGCGAAGATAAGAAACCCCGCCACCACTATAAATTTCCAGTGTCTTCCAAAGTTGAGTCACAGTAAAACTTTTATCTAAAATTTTACTGTAAAGATGTCCATTTCCCTTTTAAAACGCTGAAACAGCTGGTTTTTTCCCAGTCAAATTGTACTATTATTATTTTCATATTCCAATGATACATAATACATGACCTGCAATATATTTCTACATTTCTTCTGTAATATAAATGTATTTCAGTTAATGTACAATTATTAAATATTTAACAGTAACAATTATGGATATTCGAATAATTTTAGGAAATTCTTCACAAGTTTACGATGAAATAATAAACAAGTAGAAACAAATTTTATTGATATGTATTCAAAGAGCTTTGGAAATGTCTGTGTAATACGAAATAGAAATTTTGAAATTAAACGCAAAATACTTATGGTATGAGGATTTATCTAAATTTAAATACCCATTGTAGCAAAATATGACGATTCCAAGTTTCAAGGTCCCAGAAATGTTTAATAATTTAGAGTTAAGCTTATTGACACTAATGTATAATTTAAGATGATTACTCACCCATTGTAGCAAAATATGAAGATTCCAAGTTTCAAGGTCCCAGAAATGTTTAATAATTTAGAGTTAAGCTTATTGACACTAACGTATAATTTAAGATGATTACTCACACTTTGTAGCATGGATTCTAAAAGTAGTACACATAAATACTTGTTTAGGAAACAAGTATAAAGTTTCTTCATAATTAGTAAAAATAAAGTTGTATGAAACAACTTGCGTACTTAGTAAAACTTAGTAGTATTCGCAAAACTTCATTTAATGAAAATATGTTTGTTTTAGCCCATGTGAATCAAAAAGCAAAAATGAATTAGGAAAAGCGGATATATTTTAGGAGCATTAATATTTATGATTATTGTTATCTGTTTTATTTGTGTCTTAGAAAGCTATTTATGTCTCAGAAATTAATTACCTCAGATTTCTAGTC